AAGGAGTTTTCTAAGGCTCCACAGCCTCTGGGCCCCAGGATTGAAATCTGAGTCTGTTTGGCCTGGCATGTTTTCTCCTTTGTGGAATGACATTGTCCTCGGACGGGGAGGGTGGGCGGCAGGGAGTGTGACTGAATGGGCGTCTGCCACCGTCTCAGCACTTGGAGGGGCTGTGCCTCAACTGATGGCCTGAACGCTTCAAAGCCACCACTGCAGGGTGCTGTCACGGGGCTCCTGGTGGGCTGAGTGCCGGAGTCTGCAGGGCTCTCAGAGCCAAGTCCTCCTTACTAATGAATTGGTTACCTATAAAATCACTTCTGAAATCAGTTTCCACCACCTCCGGTCCCTGTGCATCTCTCACAGGTAAGGCCAGTGTCTCCCCACAGCCGTTGCCTCAGATCTGGCTGACTGCTGGAAATCTGGCAGTGTCATGGAAATGGAAATTCATCCTAAGGTGATTGTAGAGTGAAACTGCAGATCTTGCCCAAGGTCCAGTAGGACATGAGCACACTGAAGGTGGTGGTGGAGAACTAACTCTTGGTTCTCACACGTTGACGGATCAGGGTCTGAGAGAATCAGGCCAGTTTAGCTTTGGAGAGAGAAGAGGAGGGTGTGCAATGAATATTTTTGAAAGATTAAGAAAACCTCTTAGGAGGAAAGTATATAGCAATCCAGGCCTATTTAAAGAAGGAAGAACAATCCCAAATGAATAGTCTAAAGTTGCGATTACTGAAACTGGAAAAAAAAGAACAAATGAGGTCCAAAGTCAGCAGAAGGAGGGACATAATAAAGATCAGAGAAGAAATAAATAAAATTGAGAAGAATAAAACAATAGAAAAAATCAACGAAACCAAGAGCTGGTTCTTTGAGAAAATAAGCAAAATAGATAAACCCCTAGCCAGACTTATTAAGAGAAAAAGAGAATCTACACACATAAACAGAATCAGAAATGAGAAAGGAAAAATCACAACGGACCCCACAGAAATACAAAGAATTATTAGAGAATACTGTGAAACTCTATATGCTAACAAGCTGGAAAACCTAGAAGAAATGGATAACTTCCTAGAAAAATACAATCTTCTAAGACTGACCCAGGAAGAAACAGAAAATCTAAACAGACCAATTACCAGCAATGATATTGAATTGGTAATCAAAAAACTACCCAAGAACCAAATCCCCGGACCAGGTGGATTCACCGCTGAATTTTATCAGACATTTAAGAGAAGACATAATACCCATTCTTCTTCAAGTTTTCCAAAAAATAGAAAAGGAGGGAATACTTCCAAACTCATTCTATGAAGCCAGCATCACTCTAATACCAAAACCAGGCAAAGACACCACAAAAAAAGAAAATTACAGACCAATATCCCTGATGAACATATATGCAAAAATACTTAACAAAATATTAGCAAACTGAATTCAAAAATACATCAAGAGGATCATACACCATGATCAAGTGGGATTCATCTCAGGGATGCAAGGATGGTACAACATTTGAAAATCCATCAACATCATCCACCACATCAACAAAAAGAAGGACAAAACCACATGATCATCTCCATAGATGCTGAAAAAGCATTCGACAAAATTCGACATCCATTCATGATAAAAACTCTCAACAAAGTGGGTATAGAGGACAAGTACCTCAACATAATAAAGGCCATATATGACAAACCCACAGCCAACATCATACTCAACAGTGAGAAGCTGAAAGCTATTCACCTAAGATTGGGAAGAAGACAGGGATGCCCATTCTCCCCACTGTTATTCAACATAGTTCTGGAGGTCCTAGCCATGGCAATCAGAAAACACAAAGAAATAAAAGGCATCCAGATTGGTAAAGAAGTCAAACTGTCACTATTTGCAGATGACATGATATTGTACATAAAAAGCGCTAAAGACTCCACTCCAAAACTACTAGAACTAATATCTGAATTCAGCAAAGTTGCCAGATACAAAATTAATACACAGAAATCTGTTGCTTTCCTGTACACCAATGATGAACTAGCAGAAAGAGAAATCAGGAAAACAACTACATTCACAATTGCATCAAAAAGAATAAAATACCTAGGAATAAACCTAACCAAGGAAATGAAAGACCTATACCCTGAAAACTACAAGACACTCTTAAGAGAAATTAAATAGGACACTAACAAATGGAAACTCATCCCATGCTCTTGGCTAGGAAGAATTAATATTGTCAAAATGGCCATCCTACCTAAAGCAATCTACAGATTCGATGCAATCTCTATCAAAATACCAACAGCATTCTTCAATGAACTGGAGCAAATAGTTCTAAAATTCATATAGAACCACAAAAGACCTCAAATAGCCAAAGCAATCCTGAGAAGGGAGAAAAAACAGGGGGGATCTCGCTTCCCAACTTTAAGCTCTACTACAAAGCCACAGTAATCAAGACAATTTGGTACTGGCACAGGAACAGAGCCACAGACCAGTGGAACAGAATAGAGACTCCAGATATTAACCCAAATATACAGTCAATTAATATATGATGAAGGAACCGTGGACATACAATGGGGAAATGACAGCCTCTTCAACAGCTGGTGCTGGCAAAACTGGACAGCTACATGTAAGAGAATGAAACTGGATCGTTGTCTAACCCCATACACAAAAGTAAATTCAAAAAGTATCAAAGACCTGAATGTGAGTTATGAAACCATAAAACTCTTAGAAAAAAGCATAGGCAGAAATCTCTTAGATATAAACATGAGTGACTTCTTCATGAACAAATCTCCCCGGGCAAGGGAAACAAAAGCAAAAATGAACAAGTGGGACTATATCAAGCTGAAAAGCTTCTGTACAGCAAAGGACACCATCAATAGAACAAAAAGGCATCCTACAGTATGGGAGAATATATTCATAAATGACAGATCCAGTAAAAGATTGACATCCAAAATATATATAAAGAGCTCAAGCACCTCAACAAACAAAAAGCAAATAATCCAATTAAAAAATGGACACAGGATCTGAACAGACAATTCTGCAAAGAAGAAATTCAGATGGCCAACAGGCACATGGAAAGATGCACCATATTGCTAATCATCAGAGCAATGCAAATTAAAACCACAATGAGATATCACCTCACACCAGTAAGGATCGCCACCATCCAAAAGACAAAGAACAACAAATGCTGGTGAGGATGTGGAGAAAGGGAACCCTCCTACACTGCTGGTGGGAATGTAAATTAGTTCAACCATTGTGGAAAGCAGTATGGAGATTTCTCAAAAAACTGAAAATAGAAATACCATTTGACCCAGGAATTCCACTTCTAGGAATTTATCCTACGAATGCAGCAGCTCAGTTTGAAAAAGACATATGCACCCCTATGTTTATTGCAGCACTATTTACAATAGCCAAGAAATGGAAGCAACCTAAGTGTCCATCAGTAGATGAATGGATAAAGAAGATGTGGTACATATACACAATGGAATATTATTCAGCCAGAAGAAGAAAACAAATCCTACCATTTGCAACGACATGGATGAAGCTAGAGGGTATTATGCTCAATGAAATAAGCCAGGTGAAAAAAGACAGGTATCAAATGATTTCACTCATCTGTGGAGTATAAGAACAAAGAAAAAAACTGAAGAACAAAACAGCAGCAGACTCACAGAACCTAAGAATGGACTAACATTTACCAAAAGGAAAGGGACTGGGGAGAATGGGTGGGAAGGGAGGGATAAGGGGGGAAAGGGGGCATTATGATTAATAAACATAATGTATGGTGGGGGCATGGGGAGGGCTGTACAACACAGAGAAAACAAGTAGTGACTCTATAGCATCTTCCTATGCTGATGAACAGTGACTATAATGGGGTATGTGGGGGGCACTTGACAATGAGGGGAGTCTAGTAAACATAATGTTGCTCATGTAATTGTAGATTAATGATTCCAAAAAAAATGTCGAATACAAAAAAAAAGAAGAAAAGCTCTTAGGAGACTGGTGAAGCCTTTGCAAAAATGACCTTTCTGATAGTCTTAGCAAAAGTAAAACATGAACATGAAACAAAACGTTGAGGATAGCTGGTCAGAAAAAGTACACATAAAACAAAAAAGCATTTGTTTCATTTCTTGTTCTTTAGAACACAAATGGTTATAATTGCATGAGTTTAACCTAAGTTTTGTGAAATGTGATACAAAGTAGATATACTCCTAATTTGATTCCCCTCACCTTTTTTTTTTCCAAGATAAAGACCCAGTCAGATTTTTTTCTGTCCACCTCCCTCAGCCAAATCGTTTACTGTGAATTAATGGTCCTTGTTCAGTGGGTGTAGGGTACAGTTGTCCCACCCTGCTCCCTGTATCAGATTAGTCTTAGTTAACTAGGACCTGTTCTCATTTCAGTCCTGCAAAACAAACTAGGTGGAGGAGGTTTTATCAGGTGCTTCTGCAATTCTTCCGCAGCCTGAAGAGTCAGTGTGTGCCCAATCCTGCCCTGATATTTATTCCTGTGGTGCCTGAGACACTCTCCCATAGGAATGTCTTCTTTGTATTCTGGTTGCTTTTGAAGTCATGGCCATCCAGAGACCATAATTGTTTTTATTACATCCTAATGATTTTGAGATTTTATTTAACGTGGTTTAAAAATGTATTTTTCAATAATATTTATCAGCTGATCTGTTCAGACCTTTGACATTTGAATACTTAAAAATATTATCTAATGCATTAGGAGAAAATGCATGCAGTACCCAAGTTAAATATTCTAAGAGGCAACTGTCTTTTGGGGAAATTGCAGCATAAAAAGGATCAGTCACAAAGCAGCCCTATACCCAGGGAGAATGTTCAGGATTCAGGGGGGCAATATAGGCCTGGCATTCGGATGCAGGCAGGGGAATGTGGCAGCCTCTTAAAGACAGCTTTTGTCTGATTTTTTTTTTAAAAAAAGACTTTCTTTCTTAGAATACTTTCAGATTCACAGAAGTACCTGACCCATTTGAGAAGGCGGTTTTAACACCTAGATTTTTTCCCCTCTCTCTCCAGACGTCGCCTTCTCTCCCAGAGGTCGTCCTTGGAGACCCTGGAAGACATTGAGGAGAACGCCCCTCTGCGGAGGTAAGTTTTCTGTGTTGCATTTACGTGCTTGTAAATGGCCGGCAGGACAAGACAGCAGCCAAAGTTTGATTTTTTTAAAGTTCTTGAGCTACAGAATTAAATTTTAAAACTGACGATCTGATCCCTGAACTCATAGTCTGAAACTCCAACCCGGGGACCCGTTAGAAATAAGGCACTGTTAAATCCCGATCAGGGATTGGAATAGCCCAGTTTGCATGTGAGTCTGGGGGCTGTTTCCCTTTCTCTCTGAGGGCTCTGCTTGATGAACAGCCCCTCCTAGTCCCAGCTTTCCCGGGTGCAGTGACAGAGGAGTCACAGTCCTGCGCGTCAATACGAGGAGCCCACGAGTCACTGGGGTGCTGGTTGCTGGGGAAACTGGACTAGGACAGCTGCAAGTGCTCCCCTGCGGCTGAAGAGGTTCATTTCACCCCCGGGGCTGGCAAAGTGCTGGAGAGGGGTCTCTGGGAGACAGGAGGGGCCGAGCTGGGCCGGGCCTCCGACTGCCGCTCTCCTCTCTCCAATCCTGTTCCTTGGCTGCCTGGCTGCCGTCCAGGGGAGGAGACCGTACCCATACCACGGCTCCCGCCGGCTGCCAGTACCTGGGGGCCTCCCATGGAAGGAGCTGAGGCCTATGGGACGTGGTGGCTTTACCTGGCATGCTTGGCAGGCAGCAGAGGGGAGGCCCATCAGCTCGCAGCAGCTCCCCGAGGAGCCCCCACTTGCATGCCTTGTGCCTTTGGCTGCTGGCCAGGACTTGGGAGTCCAGGGCTCCTCCTTGGAACAAGGCATCTCAACCTGGCGCCTCAGCCCAGGTTCCAGGCTTGTCCACAAACTTACCTGCATGAAGGGTGAGGCACAGACTGGCCTGAGAGTCAGTCAGGAGGGCCAGATGACTGTGAGTCTCACCACTGACATCGTTCCAAAAAGAAAGCCAGGGCCGCACAGTCTGACTTCCGCTTTGGAGCTCTGAAGACATCATGTGTTAGCCCCGGAGGCTGCGTCAGGGTGAACAGCATGTAGCAGTGTGGTCGACGTGGCTTGGGTGCCAGTGTCCCGTCAGTCAGGGAAATGTTGAGAGAAGGCTGTTTCCTTGAAGGAGTCCTACAAAAAGCTGCCATTAAAGTCAAATTAGGGAGCTGGTTCTGGTCCAAAGTAATCAGCGAGAGTGGAGGAGAGGTGTTCTCAGGTGGCACCAAGTGACTGGCATTTGAGCAGGTAAGGTCACCCCTGCCACACATGGAAAAATCACTGAATGGAACTAAAAAGCCCCTGGTGTTGCAGGAGGCTGTGAGGATCCATGGCCATTCAAGCAGTGTGATGTATGAGATAAAATAAAGTCACTCCCTTCTCAGGGCCTCCAGGTGGTTAAGGGGCGGGGCACCCAAGGAGGAACTGGGTGCTGTGTTCCTGGTCTCATGTGCTGTCACCCTTTACTCTCCTCAGAATCCGCCCAGGCTGGTCCTCTGGCCCCTACCCCTCCTCAACCCTCCCACAGCATAGATGTGCGAGTAAAAGTGGATTCTCTGCTTTACCGCAGCCAACTCTGACCTACAGAATACTGTACTGACTTTCCAGCAAGCCCTGTGTAAATATAAAATTTTAAAAATAAGTCTGAAACCAAAGAAGTTTGGGCAGTTTAAGAAGTCTTTTCTTTCCCTAATGGACTTTTTTTGAATTAAAAAAAAAAGTTCTAAAACTTACTTAGAAGCTTACTTGTTCCTAAGGCACTAAAGTTAGCATGGCATAGCAGAAGGGGTGTTAGTTTGGGAGTCAGGGGACCCGGATTGTTGGCCTGATTCTTCTACTAACTAGTTATGCGGCCTTGGAAGTTCACTGAGCTCTCTGGGGCCTCAGCCTTCCTGTCTGTGAAGTGGAAGGGGCAGATTGACCAATCTCTGCAGCCCTTGCCCACTCTCTGATTCTATGAAGTGACGCTCAAGCGCTTTGGGAACTGTGGGGGTGGAAGGTTGTTAGCCCAACCTGCTTTTAAACTTAGTGCATTGAACACATGGCTCCAAGGCTTCTATTAAAAACCTTTTTGCATAATTAAGTGTATCCTATAATCAGCGCTAACAAGAAAGAGCTAATCTTTCATTAAATCAATTTTTAATTTAATTCTATCCTAATTTAATTTTGCATCACTTAAAATGTATGTTATCAAATGGATATTTACACACTCATGCAGGTGGCTTTGGAATTACTTCATTCTTTGGTTGATCGGCCACAGCCTGAGTGCTCAGTCTTCCAGTTTCCTTAGCAATTGTTGCTAACGTCACAATTCTGTTAAAGCATTTCTTAGATTCCCTGGTGGTTCAGTTGAATGCTTAAAGGAAAAAAAGCAAAACAAGCGGCTTACTTAAAGAAGGGATGGCTTAGCTACATAGGCAGTTGGATTTGGGAGCTGATATTGGAAGAAAGCACCTTTGTTCAGTTATCCTTTTAAATCTTGCTTTTCTCTTACACATCAGTTTGGTAGTAAATGTTTCCTGTGCCACCTAGAAATTCCAAGAATTGAGCATTTACAGTGAGAGGGTTTAGACTGAAGAGCTTTCCACTTGCCTGGTGGTTACTTGGTATTCTAGAAACAAGGAACTAGGACATCTCTACTTACTAGGTATTGAGAGAAACCTCATTCATCTGCTGCTGAAGTGGCAGCCTTCACCACCTGCCTGTTTCCCAGCCTGCCCGGGGTGCTGGGTGCTGGCTGCTGCACCATGTAGCACTTGCTGCCACCGCCCCCATCCTCGCTGATGCCAGCAGCCACCTGTGGACTTTCTGCTACCTTCGGTTCCAGCAGAAGGCTGGGAAATTTTGTGCTCAAAGATGAAGGGCAACAGCACCCTTTCTGCAGGCACAAGAGGCATGGAGCAGCTCAGGGTCATCCTTCCTTTGGGCTGGGCTGGGTACCAGCCTCTTGCCACTGGTGGAAACTGAAGGGTCTAGCTCACAGTCTAGCTCCTGGTCCGCTGCCTCAGACTGGCTGGCCTAAGGAGCTCTGCTTTTTGGAGGCTAGCAGGGTAAGGGTTTGAACATTCCTGAATACTTGGCCCTGTTCAGAAACCAATGGAAGCATAGCTTTATGTTTTCAGAGATTTTCCTGTCCCCAATGACTCCATGTTTCTAAAACCTGTGTGTGTGAGAGACAGCTGGAGGCCTTGGGTGGCCTGCAGAGTTGAACAGTCATTCTGGAGGTAGAACTGAGGTAGTTCGGGGTCCTGGGTCTGGTTCCAGAGGGCTGCCCCAGGAAGGCGGTCTGAGGCTCTATCCCCTTGAACTCCAAGACTAAATGGACTAAATGTGGGTTTGGAAGCCTGGAGTAGAGGGAGATTGTTGGGTACCGGCCCCTCTCTGAACCCTGCCTGAAGTCCTCAGGAGGCATCCACTGAATGCTGTCAGACAGGGCTCTGGAAGTCTTTAAAAAATCTATTTAAAAGCAAGAATTCAGGAGCCTTAATAAGGGCTGTAGTTTTAAGAATAAGGGAGGCAAACAGTAACAAAATATACATGCTCTGTAAGGTGTTAACAGTCACTATTAATAATGTGTTAATAATAACAGCAGTTGAAATCTTTATATGAATATTTGCCCATGGGAATATATATATGAATGTGAATACTTGTATTTGAACATGTTACCTGACAGTTTATGAAGCTCTTGTGTAAGTCACCACATTTAATTCTCATGACGATACCAGGGAGCGATCTGAAGTACCACTAGTGATGGGTCAGGGGCAGTGGTGAGTTGTGGGGGAGCCTGGGAGGACCATGGTTTCTGCTGCAGCATCTTGCAGAGCTACACAGCCTGTGACCATGGGCTGGAGACCCTCTCTGATGTGGTGGACGTGACTAGAAGGGGGGTCCTGCCCTCCTCGAGACCCAAGGCCAAGGAACTGCCTTTTGCAATGAGAGCCACCAAATATCTGATACTGTGTCTTTGCTGTAGCCTGCACTTTCACTTTAGTGTGATTTTTTTTTTCAAGTTTTATCACATTTAAGGTGGCATTTCGTATGGAGAAAAATAATTTTCCTGTTCTCTGGAAAGGGCTTCTAGGAAGATTGGCCTTTACGAGAGGGTGGATCCCTGGGCTTGGGAGGATATAATATCCTGAAGCCTGGACAGGGGACATCGCCCAGTTTCCCTGGAGCTGGACCCTTGGCGAGAGTAAAGGGTGGAGTTGCTATGCAGATCTGTGACCCTGCCATTCCCCATCTTCTGCCGCAGTTCCCCCCACCCCACCTGCCCCTCAGTGGTACCTTCCTGTGGGGTCATCATGTTAGTTCTCATACCTGTACCCTCCCAGTTCAGAACTGACTGGACTCAGTGGCACCCCAGCCCACCTCGGCGTGGCTGTGGGAAGCCAGGCGCTGCTTCCCCAGAACCCATCCTCTGAAGCCCAAGGCCTTGGGTGACCTTGTCGAGGGCAGGAGCCAGCCCTTGGGCCCGTAAGGTTTAAATAAACAGTTGGGGTGGTAAAACCCAAATAGAAAAGTTGCAGTGCCCTTTCTCAAAACAAGACCAAACTCTACCCTCCACTTGTTGGGTCTTTTGCTTTCTTTTTTTTTCTTGTTGTATGTGTAACTTAGCATTTGCCAGATAACTTTGAACAAAATACACACAAATAAGATCTTTCTAGCCTGTGGTCTGATCTCTGCCGTCCTGTAGGGCAAGCAAATGTTGTATATTCCAGGCAAATAATTTGAATTCACATCATTTTGTTTAACAAATATTTATTTAAAATTTATCTTAAAAAAAAGAAAGAAAGAAAGAAAGCCACTAGCTGGGTCTCTGAATCTCATTCAAAGTAAAGCCAAGACTTCCAGGCATACTTGAGTTGAGAGTTGAAGCAGCTGTCCAGGTATTTCAGGCCAGAGTCCTGTTACAGAAGAAAAATGATTTGGAGTTGTTTTTACATGAAATTTGTGAATGTTTTTTCCCTCTAAATCCTTTAAATTTACAGTGTTCTGTTCCCATTACCTGGGTCGATACAGGAGGATTCTTTTTAAGATGACAGGAAGGAATAATGTCTTTGGAATCCATATAGGTCATGTTAGTGTAACTGAAGACAGTAGGTTTCATTAGCTGGCTTTTCAGAGACCCATATAAATTATTATCAGTATTATCAAGGAAGTTGTCTGTCATTGGGGTTTTTGTTAAAGCTTCCTTGCTTCTAGCCATATTGTCTTCATTATGTTGGGGCGATTCAAACCATCTGTCTGGTCTTTCCTCCCTGCCTGCATGTTGGGATGTCCTGGTGGTCCAGTGGGCGACTAACTCTTTGGAACGGCTGTTTTTCAGGTGTCGAACTCTCTCAGGTTCGCCCAGACCAAAGAACTTTAAGAAGATTCATTTTATCAAGAACATGAGGCAGCACGATACCAGGAACGGCAGGTACCAGGCTAACAAAAGCTGCACACCAGCCTCCCTGCTGCGGGGGTGGGTGGGTCCCATGGGGAAGGGCAAGATTACCTCAGCAAGGTGAGGCCCACGCTGAGCAGCGTCTCCTGCACCCTTCCCGGACGGCCTGCTTCCACCCCACTCCACTGGCATCGTCCAAAGGAGTCAGTAGAAAATAATGTTTCCTAACAACGACCAGAGGCTTGGTGAGCTTTTTAGACTAACCTCAGATTGAATGCTTAGTGGTACTCAAATATGCTTTTACAGGAAACCGAACACAGAAGCAGCTGAGGTTTTTTTGTTCTTGTTTCCTCCTCTTTTCTGCTTTGGTAGGCTTTATTGTCTTTTTTTCACAAGGGCTGTGTGCTCTGGTCAGTAAATATCCTGCCAGAGCTGTGCCTAGGCTCAGCTTTGGCGCTAGCTTTGATGACCTTTCGGGAGTGCAGGGTGGCAGCTTTGCTAGCAGATGCTTCCTGGGAGCGGATTCGGATTCCTGGGCCAGCTGACAATGGGAGCACGTGTTCCCCTGGCACTCCAGTTGCTGTTCTGGGAAGTGCCATTAAATGAGAATTATCATTTATATTTATATTTCAAATATACTTTATCTGACCTTGAAATTTATATGACCTTAATACTAAACCATCCTGGTGACAAACAGACCTCCTGCTGCTGACATGCTCATGATTGAATGGCACTGGGGACAGAGCTCTTTGACCTCTCAGGGGTCCCCTGACACTGTGTACCCTTTAGGGGTGACTCCCCCCTACAGGTCTGTGGGTGGTGGTTTCCCTTGAGTGGAGGAGTTAGAGATGCTGTCCCAGAGTGGTGGTCCCACGGCAAAGGCCATTTTGTTTGATCTGATTTACAGAAGATCATAAGGAGCCCCACTAATAATCTCTGATCCATACCAAGTGAAATTGCTAAATAGTCTTTAGACTCATAGCATGATTAAAGCCAGCAGTACTGTGATTCGGTATAAAATACACTGTACAATCTGAGGAATAACATGATTACAGTTTTTTAAGACTTCTTTTTGGGAAGTTTATACCTGTTCTTTAAACTTTACTTGAATAGAGAACGTAATTTTATAGCTTTTCAGTGGTTTCAGGATAGCAAAGTTGAGCTCTCATATCAAATCATTTTTATGTAGTCAATATATATTCCTATTTTAAGTACACGGCTTTTAGTTAGGCTGTCCCCAACTGTCATCTGTTAAACAGACCATGAATTTCTCTCCTGCACCTTTACTCTCACTGTCACTTATGATTATTGTGCCTTATTCATTTAACATCATGAATCTTTCTTTTCTTTTGAGGCTCTCACTTTACTAAATCCAAATCTTACACATGCCATTCTCAGTATAGTTTAGTTACTCATCATTTATTTACATTTGTGCTTGGGTCCATAATCTTGTTAACCATAAAATAAACATAGAAAGCCTGTCATTTGTAAATAAAATCATTGAAAAAGCCAAAGGAGTGGGCCTATTTAATAGCATTCCCCACCTATCCATGCTGTTGAGGATACAAAGGCAGATAATTTCCTGGCATGGTTAGGTAGTAAAAAGATGTCCATTAATGAAAAATGTAGACTAATGGGATGGTCAGCATCCGTTGTGAAGCCACCTTCCCTGGCCTACACTTGACCCAAGAATAATATTAACAGTCTGGAAAGCATACAGTCGTTAGCAGTTTTGCTGGGGAATTTTCAGAGGGAGCCAGGAAGGGACATGAACTTATCTAAAGATGTGGAATTTAGGCAGGAAAGCGAGCGCCAGGCGCTGCCGTGGGAACCAGGCCATCCATGGTGGCTGCCGCCAGTTGGAGCTGCCAGGTGGAGCAGCCTTCCCTGTGCCAAAGGAGATGAAAGGGCTGGAGGCACCCTCCTCCCCCTCTGGTTTATTAGCAGGGATGGGTTGTTTCTAGACACATGAAAGGAAGAACCAGGAGGATGCCAGGAAGAAAATACGATTTCTGAGGTGACAAAAGGAAATTGCGGTCAAGAGCTGATGAATGGGAGGATGTGACCCAGCCTTTCCAGAAAGGGAAGAATTGCCCTCATGGCAGCTGGGCAGCAGGCGTGGGACTGTCCTGATGGAGAGGGGCCAGGAATGTGGATGAGCTGAGGCCAAGAGTGCAGGGAGAGGGGTGCCTGGTGGGCTCTCGGAAGGGATGGGCTGGCGCAGTGGAGGGGTCTCTGAGGCTTCCCCCTTGGACTCAGGGAGGCACGCATGTGTGCACATGCACACACACATTCCTGCAGTGAGTAATGGACTCAGACTTCCTACCCATGTTGGGAAGGAAGGAGGCTTTATGGAGAAGGCTGGAGGTGTTCATTAAAGAACTTAAAGGTCTGGACTGAAGAAGGAATGAACCGGGTGCTGTATGCTCGCCTCTTTTGCAGAGAGGCTCAAAAGGAGGCTGTGCAGCCTGCAGTAGCCCCCCTGGTGGTCGTGCTCACAGCTGAGCTGGCTCCCAGCCTCCTTGTGACCTTGAGCTAGCACAGCCCAGCCTCCCTGACTACAAGCCGAGCCCAGGGCCCACTTGCTGCTCTGGAACTTAAGGCTCCTTCATTCCTGAGCCTGCTGACCATGTGAGAGGCAGCAGCCTCGAGGAGGGGTTGAGCTTCAGCCTCCACTAGGACCAGAGAACAGCTGATGTGGGAGAGCATAGCAGTGGTCAGCGCCAGACCTGGCTGAGCGGGAAGCCCAATTCCAGACCAAAAGGAGGAAAAGTAGTAAAAACTGAGAGCCAAAGGCAGTAAGAAACACTCGTGCCATTGAAAAAAGCAAGACAAAAACCCAAGTTGACGTCATGATCAGTAATATCAGGGTAGCTGCTCAGAAATAAACCTCAGGGCCTCAGCTGGTCCCATGTCTGCTGCTTCTCCAGGTGATGTCAGGCAAATTCCAACTGTCTGCAAAGTGGAAAGAAGCGCCTTCAGGAGAAGGTGGTTCTGGTGGCAGAGGACATCTGCTTCCAGGAAAAACCATCTTCCTCTGGAATCAGTGAATCCTATGAGCCTGGCCCTGGGGAGCTGCTAGAAGGCCTCGTGTGTGGAGAAACTGCAGAGAACCAATCTGAGCATGTTTCAGAGCCAGGCTGCAGACCCCTAGGAGGACTGCTGGGGGTGGTGGGGTTCTACTTTCAAGAAGGCCAAGAGGACGCTGCACACAGATCACAGACCCAGTGATGGAAGCTGGCAGGCCAGGAGCTGTGGTGGGTTCTCTGTTGGCTCTGCTCGGTGTTCAGCTCCAGGCAGGCTGGCAAGCGGGGAGGGGAGCTACCATGCTTTGCTTCTACTTCTGTCTTAAGACAAGAGAGATTGGTCATGGAAAAGTCGTGTTGGACTTGAGAGGTGTGAACAGAGAGCAACGCTTGGCTGGGTTTTAGGAAGGCAGTCTCAGGAAGTTCAGACCAGGAAGCAGTCTGATTCTTATGACTGCAGCTTTACTGCCAAAAGGGATCATAAAATTAGGAGTGGCATAAGAGGATAATGGCTAACATTAATTGAGTGCTTACTGGATGCCAGGCTCTCAGTACTTTATATGCTTCATTTCATTAACTCAGCTCAGTGGGTGTGTGTTGAGTAAACGAGAGGAGAGATTTTAAGTGAGTTTCAGTCTTCAGGACTATATCTCCAGGAATGGAGAGGACTTAAAATACAAATAATCCTTGAAACAACCTTATGAGGAAAGTATTACTGTTGTCGTGTTAGGTAGAATAATGCTCCCCAGAGACTTCTGCACTGTATCCCCAGGGCCTATGGCTGTGGCAAGAGGGGCATTGAGGTTGCAGATGGATTTGATGCTCATCAGCTGCCCTGCAGATAGGATAGTCCTGGATGACCTGGGTGGGCCCATGTAACCACAAGCGTCCTTAATGGTGGAGGAGGGAGGCAGAGAGTCCGTGTCAGAGTGATACCATGTGGGAAAGACTCAACTGTCCATTGCTGGCTGTAAAGATGGAGAAAGGGGTCATGAGCCGAGGAATGTGGCCGCCCCTACAGGCTGGAAAAGGCAAGAAAACTCTCCTTTCAAGCCTGCCTTGGGAAGCAGTCCTAACACCCTGAGTTTAGCTTTGTGAAACCCATTCAGAGTTCTGACCTCCAGAATTGTACAATAAATAAAAAGATGGTGTTGTTTTAAGCCACCAGCAATTTGCCACCACAGCTTTAGGAAACTAAGACACTGATCATCCCAGTTTACAAAGGAGGAAACTAGACACATGGCTGGAAAGTGGGGGGTGGAATCCAGATCAGATCCAGGCATCAGATCCAAAACTCATTCTCATATTTAAAGGACATGTAGGAGATAAAAATCCAGATACTGTAAGACAGCATGTCCTGGTGGATTTTGAGAAAACGCGATTGAATTCTGATTTTTAAAAATTACTAGCTAAAGCCCAAAGACTAATAAAAGAATGGCTGAACCAGACTTAGAAGAATAGTGTGAGAAAGACTGAAGTCCAGAATGATGTAAAGATTGATAAAAAGAAAACAAAATTGGAACCCCTCATATTTTACTGGTGGAATGGTGCAGCCACTATGAAAAATAGTTTAGCAGTTCCTGAAAAAGTTAAACATAAAATTACCATATGACCTAACAGTTCCACAGCCAGGTATATACCTAAGGGAACTGAAAAGAGGAATTCAAGCAGATACTTGTTTGCTGATGTTCAGAATAGCATCATTGACAATAACCAGAAGGTGGAAACAACCCAAACATTCATCCAAATGAGTGGATAAACAAAATGTGGTTTATATGTATGAAGGAACATTTTCAACCATAAAAAGACATGAAGTGCTAAAACATGTCACAATGTGAATGAGTCTTGAAAATGTTTTGCTGACTGAAATAAGCCAGAGGAAAAAGGTCACATATTGTATGATGCCATTTATACAAAATACCCAGATTAGGTAAATCCAAGAGTTAGTAGATTAGAGGTTCTAGGGCCCAGGGGGATGGGGACAGAGTTTCTGTGTGGGGCTATGGA